AGTCAGGTTGTGACACAAGGTCAATTTTTAACATGGGGACCTGGTCTAAGCTTGTCATAGCTAGTCCAAACTGGTCAGAGCCAGTCCAAGCTAGTTGCAGTTGTGATACCACCAGCTCAGATATATCAGAAATTCTGAAGACTACTAGTAGGGATGAAAGATAATTTATTTTTTTAAAATAAAATACTAATATCCTTACTGATAATGACCTACTTATGTACAAAGAGACCAAAAAAAAAAAAAAAATGAAAACAATAAGAGATGGTTACGAAATGAGGAATATTAATCTAGTACATTTATTGGCTAACTTCAAAAAATGAAACAAAAACTACTTCATTGGAGGAAGAGTAATTCCAATTTTAGATATTCTGTTGGGATTGCTTTCTTTATCAATTCTGATATCTTTCATTTGTATCAGTTAAAAGGATTTTGAAAACTAAGTCAAAACATGGATGACTATAAAAACTGTTTCCAGAGAAAAAGCTTCAATTTGAAATAACATTAATACTCTGGTTTATCTCTTTGATAAAGAATAATGGGCTGTATGGAAAAAATAAGAGCTGACATTAATGACGGGGAAAAATTTTAAATTTATTTATTATTATTTATTGAAATTTTTTTTTGAATCATAAAAGTGTTATATGCCGTTCAGAAATTAAAACTTCATATTAATCAAGATATACAAATAGCTTTCTACATTATAGTTAATAATGAAGACAAAACTATTTGAGAATCTATAACTAGTTCATTATGGTATGTGAGAAATTTCTGTTCTGCTATAAAGTAAAAAATATATCCATTGTTTCTATAAAAGCAGTCATGAATTTCTTATTGGTGATTTGCCTTACCATACAGCTGTAAGGTTATAATCGCAACTTTGGAAGGAGATTGATAATGGAAATTAGCCTTCTCAGCCAATTTAGCGACGAATTTTAAGGAGTTCAATGACTGATTATAAGTGATAACTGACATGATATATACTCAGCAGTAAAAAATTAAGTTCCTATTAATGCCAGTTAATCTTCAATAGTTTCAAGCATTTCCCTTGTCGAAAATATAACCAAAAAGCAAAATCTATATCCTCTCCTGTCAATCTGATTATATTGATGATACAGTTTCAACAGCATTTTTCAGAATTTGATCTTTCAAAACTCATTTGACAGCATTATTGAGGAACATCCATCAGATCTTCAACAGGAAGTTACTAACCTGTTATTAAAATGACATGTTAAAAAAAAAAATAATCAAAGAGGTAAATTTGAGTGACTTTTATAAATGCCTTTTAAATAAACTTTAAAATCCTTTATGGATGGGCTTCAGTATTTGGAATGATATATTTAAGCTAAAATCTTTTCCAAGGCTGAAATATATTCAATCTATAGGTCAGTGTTGAGTCATTGCCACATATGAAACTAAATTTGATAACATTTTGTTCCTCCCCAAAAAGATAGTTTATAATTTTATTTGAAGTGTATAAATATGTAACCATCTAATAAAAAACAAAAATAATGTTATAACAAGCTTTTTCTGTGGTCATATTTCATTTATTTGCCTTGGTTTGAAATTCATAATCTGGTATGAAAAAAAAGTCAGTGCCTATTCAAAAACAATAAAAACAGCAATTCTAAAGCTGTTTAGTTTTAAAATGGTTTTAAAATTTGTTTTAGTTTTAAAATTGTTTTCAAACAATCAGTTTTAAAGCTATTAACATCCCTTAAAAATAAATTTACATCATTTAAATAGTGCATCTCAAAAACTTAAATATTTCAAATTTCACCAGTCACTGTTTAATTACATTAGCATACAACACAGTCAAGTTTTCTTATTTAAACAACTCAAATATCACATTTTTTGTAGACAAGTTTTAATCCTTTTAAGTAAACCCAAAGGGTGTACCAGAATTTATTTTTTGCTTTTATATATATATATATATATATATATATATATATATATATATATATATATATATACACACACACACAACAAACTGTTTTTGCTTTTTATATATATTATACCAATTGATTTTTTATAAAGTGGTCATTCTCAACATTTCATAATTTTTTAAATTTTGAATTATCAGGAATGAGGTAAAATATACCTCTTCCATGTTGGCCAAGAGTTAGCTGAAGCTTCAAAAATTTTTAATATTCAGCAATCATTAAGTCCTTTTGTGAGGCAGAAGGAATTCTTAATAGAATTATAAATAAATGAATAAATCTAAGTTGTAAGGAAAGAAAAGAAAAGAAGGAATGTCTGATCTATACAAGATGTTTTGTTAAAAATGACAAAGAAAGTAAAGAGTTGGAATCTCCAACAGACAGAAAATGGTAAATAAAGCTTAGAATAATGCATTTTATAACTTATCAAAAATCTTACGCTAAAAAAGAGGAAATAATGATCTAGTTCCAGTAATGTTCTGTTCACTTTTTAATTCAAGAAATCAAATAAATTAAGTTGGGTACTTTTAAGTAAATATGAGGTGGGGATAAAAAGTTCTTGGACTGCCCCACTTCCCAAAATCTGACTAAACAGAATTTTGTTTTTAATCTCTTTTTGGTCAGCTCAGGAACTTTTCAGCATCCTTAAGATATTTTGCATTTGATTCACCTTTCAATAATGACTTGTTATTTGTATATCATTTACTTTTAATTCTTGCTCAGATACACTATATTAAAAAATAGATATATCTCAGAATAACCATATTATGTAGTAACAGCAGCTTAAGACTTCATTTGTCTCTTTAATAATACCTTTAGTTTAGTTAGGTACCTCCACGAAATCGCTAAAAAAAGAGCATAGCTTGATGAAAAAGATGCCAACCTTGCCGAAAACAAAATTTTATTGTCTAAATGCTTATGTTATTATTTAGAGGAAAGACCAAAGTTTTTTTTTTATTTTTAAAAATTTTCCTTCTTTTTAGAAAATTCTAAATTTTGATTAAAAAAACCTTTTTTCTATTTGTATCAGCGGAACTAGTAAATAACATAGACAATTTTTAGCATGTTTTTTTTTATGACACACATTAATTTGAAAAATCGTTGCAAAAATAGAAATAATTATCGGATGTTAATGAAACTTTCAGGAACTATTCACAGATGATCGAAATTATTATAAATATGTTTTTTTTTATGAAAGTCATGGTAGAAATATTTTTTTAAATATTTATTACCCCCCCATAACTAATTTTACGAAAACGCTAGAAATTCGATCGCATCGGTTTTAGTGATTACAATAATTAAAAAGCACAGGGCTTTGAGGAATGCAAATCATGTTTTTTTTTTTTTAATTGGATACCCAATACCTGAAAATCAGCTCTGAATTGTAACATACAAAACTCAATAAAACAAAGATATTATTTAATTTCAAATGCTTTTATTTGCTTTTAGTTGTTTTTATGAATATGGACAATATTTTCTGAAAGCAAAAAAATTTTTTCGATGAAAAATGAATTTTAATACAATTATTTGTTATTTCATTAATTATAATAGATTTTACATTTAAGTTGTTAAAATATTATAAAATTAGTTAAAAGTCAAGACAGGCTTTCATAAGTGTCCTTATGAGATAGATCTTTTTTTTTTTTAGCACGTTGTAAATTGTATCATTTTGACTAATCAGAAGAACCCCAGTAATTAAGAAATGTAATTTTGTGCTTATAATCGAGCTGTAATTATAAAATACAGAAGACCAACCAGAATATAATTAAGTTGCGTTATTTGAGTTAAGCATTGTTCTCCGCTGTTAAGGCCTTTACTTTTGCCAAACACGTGTGGAGAAGTTAATTTGATTTTTCAATTTCAACTGAGAAGGTTACCTACAAGTATCAGTATCATCTTATGAAATTTATATGATCTTATTTTTATATTAATCTCAGTTACGACATTTTTTCCATAAATGAAATATCAAAATTAATAATAAAATGAATGGAAATACAAATAACACAGTAAAATGTAATAAATGTACATAAAATTATAGTATTTTATGTACAATTTGATAAAATTTCATAAGAAAGGTACCTATAAATTAATTAGATACCTTTCTTATGAAATATGAAATTTAATGTCACTCTTAACAGTTTTATTTTAATTTCTTTAGAATATATTTCCATAAAGCATCATAAACGTAAAGGTGAAAGCTAAGTACAAAAAAAAAAAAAAAAATTAGACCGCTGAAAGTTTTCGTTAAAAATAACGGGTAAATAATTTGTTCACGTAAATGTAAATTATTTCACTTTTCTCCTTCCGTAGAACAAATTAGCCTCATGGAATCCGTCAATATGTCATTCATCACATGTCAAGTGACGCGAAAGTTTATGACCTGCTTTGTTTTATTTTCAAATTACATCTTTTTTTGCACAAAAGCTAAGTTAAGTTTGGTTCAAAATATTTTAAATAAACATTATAATTTCTGATTTTCTTAAAATAAGTTTTGAAAAATGATAATTGATATTTAAAAAAATTTCAAAGTCAGATTTCCAGTTTTTTTTTTAAATGGAAAAAAAAAATGGTCAATTTTGCTGACTCAAAAAAAACTAGATTTTTAACGAAAATTTCGGACGTGCTAGGAACGATTAAAAAATGGAAAAAAATACCCCAAAAATACTTTGACCTTTCCTCTTAATGAATAACAAACATTTAGACGATAAAATTTTGTTTTCGTCAAGTTTGGCGTCTTTTTCATCATGCTATGCTCTTTTTTTAGCGATCTCGTGGAGGTACCTAAGTTTAGTGTACATTAAAAATTTACAAATTTAAACCTAACTACTGTGCAGGTTTACAAAGGTTTCTATATAATACTTAATTCCAACAAATTATCAAAATTAGAATAGAGACAAAATAAAACCATAATTTTTACCAAGTAGATTACATAATGAATAACTGATACTAAAATTATTTAAGTGGTATTTTTTAATTATTTTCTACAGGGTTAATAAGGTTAGAGATTGTATAAGCAAAAAAGGAAGGGTCAGTACACAGGAACACATTGCTGTAAGTACTTACAAGGTCAGTATCAACTTCGATTTTTGTGAGGGTGCGGCTGTCCTCAGTGGACGGGTGCTGGTTCTCTCTCTCCCCCAGCTCTTTGCTGGGCAACTCAAATAAAGAATCAAGAAAATCCTGCCGTTTCTTCCCTCTCACTTTCTCTCGTTTGCCGTACTTCCGAGAGGCAGAACGCCTCACATAATCAAGCAATTTCTGTCTCTCTCTATCATCTTTGCTGCCACCAAAATCGGCAAAGAGTGACAGAATCCACCTCGCAGATTGTTGACTGGAGACATTCACCTTTTTTGCATACTTGAGGATTTCAAAGACGAGGCCTACTTTAACTTTGGAGGGGCAGGTGACTGTGCCTGATTCCAAAGATTCAGGAGTTAACCCAATCTCAGCAGCGTAGGGTCCAAGTTCCATTGTCTTATCACCTTGCTATTTGCCAACTGAAGTTTTTATTTTTTAAAAGAAAAACAAATTATACATAAACAAAACTAAAAACAAAAATTTTTTTTAAATCTATAAAATCTACAAAACCAAAATATTTAACAAATAATAAAATTTATGTACAAACTAAAAATCAATCAGAAAATAAAAAAAATACAACAATTGATTAAAAGTCTACAATCTTCATTCTTTTAATTGAATTTACTTGTGAAAACAATCATAAAATCTAATCATGCTTCAAGTTAATCTAAGGATAATGTTTACAGTTATTTGTATTCTTACACCATTCTTATTTTGGATTGTCAAAGTTTAAAATACAAAGTTACCACCCAATCCACTAGAAGAATGGTTTTGCAATTTATTTTAATATTAACAATGGGCTTTCATGTAACAATAAAAAAAATAAAAAATAAAAAAATTCAGATCATGATTTAAGTGATACAGTGTGAATATTTTCAAACAAGAATGCTTGGCAGTCTTGATATTTAAAAACAAAATTCTGCCTTTGGGTCAAGTGGCAAGTTATGGCAACTGTTATAGAAGCTACCAAAATTTATGGTGTTTCCTCAATTTCTCTTTAAAAAAAATTAAATATATTACTAAAAAAAATTAAATATATTACTAAACAAAATTGCTATATCTATTTTGAATGTGTTTTCCAAGTAGAAAAAGGTATGAATCCTCTCCTTGGTAGATAAGAAAAAAGGAGAGAGTAACCCATTCTCTCATTATTATCTCTTCACTAATGCTTGCAACAGTCATTTTCAATTTTGATAAATGGTGAAAAATATAACAATGGAAAAATTATTTACAGAAAATCCTTTGTACAGTATACAAATATGGATTCATTTGTTTTTTTTGGGGAAAATAAAGGAAATGTCAATGAATTTTCTCCTAGTCAAATTTTAACTTTCACATTAACTTTTAAAAAGAGTAACACAAACAAATAAAAGTAGAAATTTCAAGTTCATGCAAGTACAGCTTTGCACAGAAAATGTTTCTTTTATGTTAAACTTATTGCATTCATTCCCTCTTTTTTTCATTTTAAAAACACTTTAATAGAAAATGACTAAGCAAATAGCTTAAAAAAAACAAACTATTAAACAGAAAATTAACAAACAAACTGACAAAAATGTGCCAGACAAAAACTGTTCCATTTTATTAATCTTTTAACACTTTTTTCAATTTAAAATACATTGCATTCTTGAATGTATACTTGAAATTCCTCTACAATCAATTGGTGTGCATGCATATCTTTTATGGTATAACCAGTGTTTTAAGAATCAATATATTTGTTTATGAATATTAGATAAAATTGAATTAGTGTTTACATTATGAATGAAGGAGTTTTTCACAATTTATTTTGAGCTATTTACAAGTGTTTTCAAAAATGGATAGAAAACATACTCAGAATTCCAAAGACCTGGAATTTATTAAAACTGAAATCAAATATTTCAATCAAAATCAAAAACAATTTCTATGGGATTCTGGTGGGTTATGATTTTTTTTTATTTTGGTCACACTGGTTTTGATTGCAACTTATGAATATTGCCAAAGTAGAAATTGAAAATATTTGTAAGCTATCTTAAATTTACATTTTTTCATACTAATTATTGGCTATCTTATTTATAAAATTGCTGAATTATGAATACTCATTTTAGTTGAAATGGGTTTTAAATTTGTCTTAACTATTTTCATGTTTCAGTTTAAAATGACATCCCAATGATTTGTTTGAGGTTTTCTAAATAGCCAACGTTGATATAAAACTATATTTATATTCAGTGAGGATCAAACTCAAAAGTAATGTTTAATTGTCAATCTACAACCAATGATTATTAATACACAGCTTCAAAACAGTGTAATTCAGCATCTGTCTTCTGTAGAAAAGTACATCAATGAAGGGGAGGGAGGAATTTCATACAAAAATATAAGCAAGAATAAGGCTAATTATTGAATCAATAAGCTAAACAAATAACTTGTAAATTTCAAAAGGCGCAAGCAAAAAGAGGGTGATAAGATAGGAAAAAAATTAATTCTTTATAAAAAAAAAAAAAAAAAAAAAAGGAAAAATTGCACTGAAAAAAATTTATATCTTTTGCTTGTGATTTTTTTTTCTTTTATAATTCTTGAAAAACTATGAAAAGTGTTCAAAAAGACAGCTTTAGCAAATGTGAAAGTAGAGAATCTTGGAGATTCTTGTACTGACACCCACAATAAGAAAAAATTGCTAATTATTACTTTGGAAGGTGCCAGTTCAGACTTATTTACCAAATCCTGAGAGACTATTAATTGATTTGCATGAAAAGAAAAAGATAATTATCTGTAGACACAAGAAAAAAAAAAGATTCTGAGAAAACTGGGTACAATATGTTAATGACATTTCAAATGCCACTGCCTTTCCAGATCCCTATGTACCTGATATAAAAACATCTTCATTAAAATATGAAATTAAAGGGTAGACACAATAAATAAATTTTGGTAATAAATTGTTTGAACCTAGATGTTCACTGTGACAAAGAGAATTTAGAACATACAAAAAAGAAAAAAAAAGAATGAAATTAAATTAAAATTATTTCAATTCAATGCATGACAAGATGTGAATAAGTAATACAAGGAATTGGTGTTGAAATACTGAGAAGAGCAGGGAATATGCATAAAAAATCATCACAAAAAAAGGAGATATTATGAAGTACCAAATCCAACATTGTACACATGACTGAACAATGGATATAGACAGTGTGAGTAAAAGTAAATAATTCAGATATTATGGTGATTAATTAAGGTCAACTATCAAACTAGAAAAAATTCTATTTCAAAACTAATAAAACATCTACACCAGTTAACAAAATATATTTTTTTGTATGAGAATTTAATTTCTTATTAATCAATCATGTCTATCTCATTATTATTGGGTTGGAACAAAAGTTTACAGTATTTTTAAGTGAATATCAAAGACAATATTTGAGTATTGGTACAGATTTATTCAACAACATTTAAGCCATTTTCACCATTTTTAGGCAGCTTTATGATTCCATCCTGCCAGAATTTGGTGTCTTTATTGGTGATAAACTAGTGTAAATAGTTTTTACAGGTTTCAAGAGTATTGAAGTTCTTCCCCACGAAGAGCATTTTGCAGAGACCAAAATAAGTTTGTAACCCAAAGGTGAAAGGTCAAATGATTATGGCAAGTGTAGTAGAACATCCCAGACAAGCTGTACCAATTTCTGTCAGGTTTTCAAAAAGAAGTGTTGTCTGACCTTGTTCTGATAAAGATGGCAACATTATGATTGACCAATTCTGAACACTTTTCATTAATTTCTGCTTTTGATTGATTAATATGGGAAGAGTACTTGCTTGAATTAATTTGATTTTGCATACAAGGCTTGTAACTCACAATGTCCTAATCCTACTAGATACATATCACCTTTGGATGCAGACTGGCTTTCATAATGGTTAATGGTGATTTGTTTAATTTTCCCCCCATGACCATTTTTGCTCCACGCTGTTGTAAAATAATGCATTTACATTGCCTACAATATTTGTTACCTCACCCAAAAATGGGCTTTTTTGTTGTTCTAGCAAATAATTGCAGATGAAAATGCAGTTCATTAAATTTTTTTCATTCATGAGACACTAAACATAAGACATTTGAAAGCAAGACTATGTGAACCTGTATAAAATATGTGGCATGTCTCTACAATGTCCTGTGTTATGTGACCTGGATTATTTTTTAATCAGCCTTTTGATTGGCTTTAATTCAAATTTCCCCAACAGGCATCAACTCCCCCAGTGCACTAAGTGAGGGAGGGTTAGGGTCAATCTGTAATGCCTGAGATATACCAATAGGGAAGTGATGAGAAAGTAGAGCAATTGTTATTGATCTCAAGTACATGTGAAATTCCCACTTTAAACTTTGCATTCTGACATATTCTGTTAATGTAAATAAACAAATACTATTCTTCTGCAATCTGCACTAGCCATTCATGGTCAGGTTTAATTCAAAGTTCAACACACTCAGCTCCCAGATGCCTGAAGGAGCTAAGTAATCTTTGTTATCAATCCCATGTATACATGTGATTCCCACTTTATTCCATTCAAGTGGGCATTCAGAAAAATAACTTTTGTAATTACCTGGTAAATCTATGCCACTGTAAACTAGAAATTATCTCCTTGCTAATATTTTCCCAGAAAAATATTGTCTTTAGCAATTTTGCTTTGAAAGAAATTAGCAAATGAATCAAAAGAAAGAAGTATTCAAATCTTTAGTGGCTGTAGCAGATTTGTATTAAAGAAATTTCCTAGCAACAAAACACTTACATTTTGTTGCCTCTCAAGGTGTGTGAAAATTAGGTACCTCCACTTTTTTGTGGAAAAACAGTAATGAAAAAGGCCACAAACTTGATAAAAATAAAGTTTTATTGTCAAAATGTTTGTTATTATTAAAATGAAAAACCAAAGTAATTTTTGATTATTTTTTTCAATTTTTTTAATCCTTTCTAACACATTTAAAATTTTGATTAAAATCTTGTTTTGTTTACATCATCAAGGTGGCATAATAATTACAGACTTTTTTTTGCATCTTTTCTATTGAAAACAGATTGATTTGGAAATTCTTGTGAAAATCAAATAATTGTCCGATTTTAATGAAATTTTCAGGACTTCACAAATGAATGAAATTATGGTAAAAAAATGTATTTTTTTTTTTTTTTTTTTACATGTAACAATTACTTAACTTCATGAAATTTTGCAATTTTTTAAATTTCATTAAAAGTAGGACTCCTTGGAGAATGTAAATCACCTAATTTTGTTTTTCAAACTTGCACTATTCTAACTGAAAATCTGCTCTGAATTGAAAAATTATAAATGCAATAAAACTATGACATTATTTAATTAGAAAAGCTTTTAATTACTTTTGTAAATAAGTTATATTAAGGACACTATTGTCTGAAGAAATAAAAAATTTTCTGATGAATAATGAATTTTTACAAGAATTTTTTCC